AAAGTGTCCAGGTGGGTTTGAACATCTCCAGAGATGGAGACTCCACACCCTCTCTGGGCAGCCTGTCCCAGGGCTCCAGCACCCTTTTCCTTAAGTTTTTCTGGAACTTCTGGTGTTCCAGTTTGTGCCCATTGCCCCTTGTCCTGTCACTGGGCACCACCTGAAAGAGCCCAGCCCCATCCATTTGGCCCTCACGCTTCAGATATTTCGTAGAATCATGATCTTTCCAACCAAAACAATTCTATGATTCTGTGTGGTACTTAGTGACATGGTTTAGTGGTGGACTCATCGGTGTTGGGTTTTTGGTTGGACTCAATGATCTCAAAGGTGTTTTCCAACCAAAGCAATTCTATGATTCCATTCTTCATGTTTCCCCTTTCAGCTGCTTTGTCTTAGTTGCAGTGACCAGTCTGTATGCTGGAGGGCACTTCTTCCTGAGATGCCTCTGCTGCTTGTCAGTGGCTGATAAAGCTCTTCCTTTCTTCCCTGGGGTGACCTCTTCCCAGATATGGTGGAGATGATGCTGATGCAGAACGCTCAGATGCACCAGATCATCATGCAGAACATGATGCTGAAGGCTTTGCCACCCATGGCATTCGCACAGCCTGCTGGAGCCAGCTCTCCCCTGCTTCAGCATGCACAGCAGGTAATGACCCTGGAGTCTGAAGGTCATCCTTGCTCACACAAGGCAACGGTTGATCTCCTGGGGAGGGTGCAGGGTCCTGGACAAAACGTGCAGAGAGTCTGAGATGTTTAACAGCTGTGCACATCTTCAAACCCTCCGCACCAGAAGAGTGCCACTGAGCAGAGCACAGCCTGCCTCGTAACCACGATGAGCATCGTGACAGGACTCAATGGCAGAAGGTCTCCTTCACAACTGTGAACTGGACTCAGTCCAGCTCTGAAAATTATCTGGCCTGGACAGTTGAACCACTGACGGACGATGCACGGAAGACACCTACACTGAGCATCTGCTGCTGCAGGTCCAAACAGCAGGGCAATATTTGTGTTACAAATCCTGTAACTGGTAAAATTTGACCCGGCAGTTTCAAATGGGCTGGAGCTGAAGTGTAGATTTTGTGATTGGACATGAAGCCCCACTGCTTTAATTCCTGTCTCACTGAAAATCCATGGGTGCTGAGCTCCAAAACGGCAGATCTTAAAGATATTTTGGTGTGTAGGTTCCTGCTCCAGCAGGGGGATTGGACTGGATGGTCTTTCAAGGTCCCTTCCAATCCCTGACATCCTGTGATTCTGTGTAGATCCTTACAGGGGTTTTTCCAAATCCTGTCCAGTGCCTGGTAAGAGGTGGGTAATTTTGGATATATCCTTAGGTGTCCAATTCCTAAGCTGTTTTGAACAAGGTGATATAGCTCCTTAGTGTTCTTAAGTGCTTTGGAAAGATGTATTTCTAGTGTCTACTCTGTAGCATTTAATACCTAAGGAAGCAGGGACAGTTCTGGGTCCCACAGTGCAGGAAGGACAGGGAACTGCTGGAGAGAGTCCAGCACAGAGCCACCAAGATGATGAAGGGAGTGGAGCATCTCCCTGCTGAGGAAAGGCTGAGGGAGCTGGGGCTCTTTAGCTTGGAGAAGAGGAGACTGAGGGGTCACCTCATTAATGTTTACAAATATGTTAAGGGTGAATGTCAGGAGGATGGAACCAGGCTCTTCTCAGTGATGCCCAGTGGTAGGACAAGGGGCAATGGGTGTGAGCTGGAACACAGGAACCTTCCTTCCCAGGCCATTCTGTCACTGTGTGTTTCCCTGACATAGACTGATGGGATAAACTGGGGGGAGAGGGGTCTGAGTGCCTCTGAATATCAGGTGAAATCTGAAATCACTGAGTGTTTGCTGGACCTTCTGCGACAGAGCCTGCAAAACCCATCTCCAGACACATGCTGAAGGACTTCCCTTACCAAAGGGTGGGCAAGTGGGAACCCAGCCCCTCAGCCAGGGACCCCTCATAGAATCATTGAATCACAGACTGGTTTGGGTTGGAAGGGACCTCACATCTTATCTCAATCTCCCCTCTTCCAGTTTCAAGTCGTTTGCTGGACCTTCTGCGACAGAGCCTGCAAAACCCATCTCCAGACACATGCTGAAGGACTTCCCTTACCAAAGGGTGGGCAAGTGGGAACCCAGCCCCTCAGCCAGGGACCCCTCATAGAATCATTGAATCACAGACTGGTTTGGGTTGGAAGGGACCTCACATCTTATCTCAATCTCCCCTCTTCCAGTTTCAAGTCATCACCCCTGCCCTTGGCCAAAGTCCCTCCCCAGCCTTCCTGGAGCCCCTTCAGGTACTGGGAGGCCACTGTGCCCCCTTCCCACGGGGAGGGGGCACAGATTTCACAAATTGTCCTTTGTCTGTCTCCAACAAGGACCTGCAGTTTGCTGCTCCCCTGGCTGTGAAAGCAGACAGGCCCAGGCCATCCGCGGTGCACCACCACCATCACTACCCTCCCGCAGGGATGCTCCCCGTGCCCCACAGTGGCTTCCCGTCCACATCCACGGCACAGCACTGGACCGGCAGCAGCAGCCCGCTCCCCCCCCTGCCTACGTGAGTAAACAGGCAGCCACGACATTATTAGCCCTTCCTTCCTGCACAGGTGGGGCAGCGAGGTAGACCAGACAATCCCTCAGCTTCGTGGTTCTTCACTAAGGCCAGTCTTGAATATGGTCTTTAACGCAACAATGGGATTGAGGTGGGTTAAGTGATGATTCGATACGCTCAATCTGATAACTTGAATAATTAGCCCTTGCTTACTGTGGAATAACCAAGAGGATCAGCACAGAGCCACCAAGATGATGAAGGGAGTGGAGCATCTCCCTGCTGAGGAAAGGCTGAGGGAGCTGGGGCTCTTTCGCTTGGAGAAGAGGAGACTGAGGGG